ACACATGCTCACGCATACACATATAATATACACAGGTATATAGACGTGTATATATATATATATATGTACGTATTTGTATTGTTGCGCTGTTATTATTATGCGTGACATTACTTTTCCAGGTGTGGGTAAGACAGAGCTGGCGAAGGCACTAGCAGAGGAGGTATTTCACTCGGAAAAGAATTTGATTAGGCTGGACATGGTGGAGTACCAAGAGGCGCACAGCATTTCTCGCCTCATCGGCCCTCCTCCTGGGTACATGGGCAACGACGAGGGCGGCCAGCTGACGGAAGCCGTTCGCCAGAAACCCCACAGCGTCGTTCTCTTTGATGAAGTAGAAAATGCACACAAAAACCTTTGGTCTCTCCTTTTGCCTGTAAGGAAGTTACTTAATAGAGAAACAGCTTGGTAGAAAATGCAATACAAAACGTCTTCTATCTGCTCCTTGCTGTAATGAAATGAAGTAACCTACTTGAGCATGCACAAACATGTCTTTGACTGGTCTCTGCGCCTACCTCATACGAAATAACTTGAAATAGTATATTATGCCCACGATGACACTGGTGTCTGCTCCTCCCTGTGAGGAAACAGGTGCTTTTAGTCTCGTTTGCCTACTTTCCTTCGCGCTCGTTCAGCCGCTATTTGCATTTATTTGTTGTCATTGTCTCCTCCTGTCCGTTTCCTTTTGTGTTTTGTTCGTTGAAATGACTGATTTCGCTCCATTCTATTTTCTGCATTACACAACCACCATCCCCTGAGCCTGTCAGCTGCTCCCAACTCCTCGTTAGTAACAATAATAGCAATAGTAATCATTAGTAATAATAATGGTAGTGATAATAATCGTAATCCTGTTGGTGTGTGCTGGTTACATATAGATGTTGGACGAGGGTCACCTTACGGACACGAAGAACGTGCGAGTGGATTTCACCAGCACCATAATAATAATGACATCGAACATCGGCCAGCAGTACATCTTAGAAGGTTATAAGGAGGCGCGGGCGATGGCTGGGGGGGCAGTGACTCCTTTGGCTCATTTCAATAAGGATAAGAACAGCTTGGAGAAGTTCGCTATGGCCAAGGCAGGCGCCAACGTTGCTGGGTCCTTTGAAAGCAAAGACCAAAAGAAAGGATCCACTGCGGAAGCTGTAGAAAAGAAAAAAGGAGAACAGTGGAACACAGGAAACTCGCCCAAAGAAGTGCTTACGAAAATGCGGCAAAAAGTCATGCAGGAAGTCCTCGGCTACTTCAAACCGCAAGTCATTGGAAGAATGACAAAGATTGTTGTAGGACACCAATGCTTAAATTTTAAAATTATATATTAAACGGACATAAGTACCTTAACGAATAAAAGTCTTTTAGTTGGGACGGCGGTGACTACTTTGGCAGAGAGTGCCCGCGTGGCTGTTTGCGTATGTATTTAATCGTCATTAACGGGGTTCATATATGGTTCACGTTGAAGGACTTCATTGCAGTATTACAGAACAATAAGTTTGTTTGCTGTTGAGACAATCTACTTGCTCTACTACGAGAGGAAAAATGTGTTGCCTTGTTCATAGTGTGTAAAATATTAGTTAATAAGTATTATGTTTGCCTCCTTTGCAGATATTTGAGCCGCTGACAGAGAGTGCGATGAGGGGAGTTTTGGATTTGATGTTTTCGCACCTGATTAAGGAATTGAGTAAGAGAGGGATTACGTTGGAAGTCTCCGACTCTGCTAAGGCCTTCATTCTAGGCAGGGCCTGGTCACACAAATACGGAGGAAGAAGAATGGCGAAGTAAGACAACCCATAGATATAATTATCTAGTTAACTAGTTGTTGTAGGTTACATTATCGTTGTATTGTTATTCATTATTAAACATTTAGATTGAAATTGTCGTGCCATTATTATTCAAGTATATACCACTTTTTAATTTCATGAGGTCGTACACCTTAAACGTCGCTGTCCGGGGACGTCAACACCACAAACACCTTAAACCAGAACTTAACGCATCATGGGCAAGTTATGATGTGTACGTATATATCAGTATACTAGAACATGGCATGTATCTGTCTATTAGAACATAATCTGTATGTATCAATATGACGGGTATATATATATATATATATA